CGCTGATTGTAGTACCCTTGTGGTGGTGGTCCACGTTGCTGTGGATATCTGGCTTGTTGTGGATAAGCTGTAGGATATTGTACTGGAAAACAATTGATAACAAGTTACAAACACTAGAAGTGACAAACATAATGTTCTTGGAAAAATATACACCTTAGAGAATTTTAGTAAAATTTCAGTGCTTCATCATCTTAATTTTTTTGGAACGTTATACTGTGTTGCGATCTCAATTTTTTTTTTTAAGGGCTTGCAGAAAGATATCTAGTCTCACTGTCTCACAAAGCCACATGTTTACAATTCACTACTGAGGTGGATACAGGATTTTGGAGAAGAGGGTTCGAGAAAGGGACCGCCTCCAGCGGGGGGTCTGGAAATGCGATGCGGTCCTCGGAAATAAGATTTCCAGCATTCTGAGGCCAAGTCAGCATGTTATCTTTATGTCTCTTTGATTTTTTTGTTAATCTAGGGGGTTTGAACGAACCCCCTGAGCACCCCTAGATCTGCCCCAGCATTAACACCCCAGCACTAACCCTAACTAATTAGCCTCAGGCAAAACCTCATGCTGACTTAAACCATTTCTCTTTTTAAACTTGAAGTGCAACACAGTTGAATAATCATACATGGGTATTTAAAAAGTAGTGAAAATCGACAATACTCACCTACAGTTTGTGTTCCTGGATGCTGAGGTGTTACAACAGCTTGTTGAGTTGTCACCTGAACCAAACAAAACACGAATCATTATGAAATGTTAACTCATGACAATGGATGGGGGGCCTGCAGATATACCAATCAGGGATATACATCCAGCTAAGAAAGCACTTAGTCGGCTCATTTACAAGCCCAGCTGGCTTTTATGCCCTTGGCAGCTCCAAAGTTTACCCAAGTCTCTGTTTTTGTGTAAAATTTCAGCTGCTTAAATTAGCCGGCAACTGGCTCTTAACTACATCCCTGTCCAATACGATCTGAGAATTTTGTTTTACCTTATTACATGAAACTTTTGCAACACACTCATTTCTCAAATTTCTCGATTAAAAAAAATCTTGAAATTAAAGTGACGCAAACAATAAGTGTCGCAAAAATAACATGATCTGAAAATTAAGTGACTCACATAATTTCATACTACTGTTGACATATAGTCCTGCCATTGCATTTTTGTTAATTTTGATGTTATTATACCTTTGATATCGGTTTACTGAATTCAAGGACATGTTAATTAAAAGTAACATTGCCAAGGAAACAAAAC